AGCCCCAGTTTCTTTACCTATAGAAAGAGGGTGCCAGCCTGTCCCTCAGAGAGCAGAGGAAAGACTGCACGTGAAAACAAATGTAAAAAATGCTGGCCCAGTGTCTGCTCCAGAGGAGGATGCTGGCGTCTCTAGAGGGCCTGAGCTGCAGAGTGAAACACGCTCACCAGGCAGCGTCGGACACGGTTGGTATCTTCTTCAGCTATAGATTGTCACTGTGTTTTCTACAGAAAATGAGGAAGTACAACACATATGAGCTTCCTCTTGGAATAAACTCAAATTCAGGTTTGGGAAACAGAACACACATTTTTGAGAAGGGACAGGATGACCTAAGGTTTGATTCAAAGTTACGGCATTTACTCTAAGCCATGGGTTCCCAGGAGGGAAAGGTCACTTTGCAATAGCGTGGGCCAAGCAAGAGGTTGGAAGTGAGCCAGATGTGGAATGACAGACAGGGCGAGAAGGGAAGAAAGGGGTGTGGGGCGATGTGGAGGGGTGATGCGGAGGGGAGACAGGCACTGCAGGCAGGCGCCACGCTCCCACAGCAGTCGGTCACGTGGGATTGCAGATCTGGAAAGAAGCGATGAGGGGTAAAGGTTGGTGAATTCCCAGCAGAAAGGTGGAAATAAGAGGCTCTTGTCCCAAGGGGGTCACCCGCGCCCTGCAGATCAGCCATGGCTGGCAGTGAGTCCTGGGGGTCGGGGCCATGCCTTTCCCATTCCCCACTGCTTCCAGAGACTAAAAGAAGCCCTGCTACAAAACCTCAATAAATATTTATTGAATAGATGAAAGGGAGGAATTCAGCACAGTGTGAGTGACTTGGATGCTAATGAAAAGGAGAGACTCAAAGGAATATGGTCATGTTTTGCAAAGAGATCAAGGATAGAGAACTCGGTGGTTCCAGGGGAAACGTTAGGAGGAATGGAGCTGCAGGACAGGGCCACAGAGTGGTGAATAAAAGGTGAACAAACATACAATATCCAAAGTGGGAGGACAGAGGGAAGGACGGCTGCCCAAGACCAGGGAGGTCCCTGTTTATCACCCCGGAGACACAGTCAAGCTGTGAATAAAGGCAGATGTCCTCAGCTGGGGACAGAGGGCAGGAGTAGGGGCGAGGGACACAGTTTCGCTCCCCAGATGGCCTCTGCTCTCTCAACCAAGAGGCAAAGGTGTCTTCTGGGAATGGGTTTTGGAAAACAGGATGAAAAGAGAACCCCAGGGCCTTAAGCCGAGCCAGGAAGCCTTCAGTTGGCCTACAGGAAGGAGCCGGCAGCCAGCAGGGCCCAGCATATGCACGGCTCTTGCAGCCCGGGGCTGGCACAAGAGTGACAGTCAGTCGAAGGCCCAATGTTGCTACAAATACCTCCTTAACTTCCCTCCAGTGAGCCACCCAGACCAGCCCCCTGGCTTCTCTTTCTGCAGGACCCTGCCCCAATCAGCTGTGTAACAAGGAAGGCTGTATCCATTTCTTGATGCTTTTGAGAACCAGGGGGCTTTAAATAAATAATGAAGGGGGCGCCTCATCAGGCTTCAGATTCCATACACATTCCCGAGTGGGAGCATCTTCTTTATTCAGCTCTTCCAGAATCCTTGGAAAGACGGAATAAATTCAGAACAAAGGCAATGCCGAGTGCAGAGCGCTTATAGGGATGTAGGCATGGCGACGCGAGAGTCTGATAAGGACTGTACGAGGTGATCTCTAAATATCCTTGTGGCCCTGACAAGCTATGAAAAATGCTTCAGGCCAGATTGCAGACAGACAGAAAGTGAGAAGCCAGGAGGAAAGCAGCAACCTAACTACCCAAGCCAGAAAGGTCCCACCACTTAGATAAACACACGTGTAAAGAAAAAAAATGTGCTTTTGTGCTAAATCCATCATAGACTGGACTTGGGGAAATGCTGTGTGAAGTCAAGTAGCACTATGTCCCTGCAATTTTCTTCTCCATTATATACGTTTAAATGGGACAGGGAGGGAATCGGATGGGAAAGCCCCTGGGGATCCACAATACGAGCATTTCTCCATCCTGAGTCCTCTATTTCTTGCCATCCCCCCAAAGTAGTGACCCCCAGCCTGGTCTGCAGCATCATAAATGTTCTCTGCTTGTTTATCTGCCCAGGCGCATGTGGTTTTAATTATTTATGATAGTGTCTCATCGCACACGGGGATGTGTCTTGGAGTCACTTCCCTTGACTGATGAAGGCTTTGTAATCAGAGACCTGCTGCCTCTCAGCCGGTAAATCTCGCTGAGCAGGGGGCTGGGGCTCCTTCCCTGGGTCTGCGCGAGTCAGCCATGGATTTGCACAGGGAGGGGCAGCCACCCGCGGTCACAGGCTCCTGTACGTTATTTATCCTTGCCACACACGTTTCCTGAAAACAATTAAGAGCCATCGGCTGTCTACTGACAGGACAAAATGCACTGCTTCCCTGGAAAGGACACTTTCCCTAATACTGGAGGGTTTTGCCAATCTGGAGTCATGTGAGGATTTCCCTTCAAAAGGTATTGTTTGTTCCCCTATTCCCTCAAGTTCTTCAGTAAGGCTGCTTCCCCTCCATCTCCATCGGCCCCTTCTTATTTACAGAGAAATACTGTCTGGGTCCTTAGAAAGTCCACTTTGAATCGCAAGTCCAAAGAGCTGCAAAAGGAAGATTTTTCCTCCTATTCTGATGACCCAGAGGAAACTTCTACCCGATGTCCAGATTCACCCCATCTGGCAACTGCACCAGTACCCTGGTCTGAGGTGCTCACGCAAGCAGGGACAAGCACCCAGAAGTCCCACCAAGAAGCAAGGGGTCCATTCTCAGTATTCGTGGTTTCTGTATTCACGAATTCACATACTTGCTAAAATTTACGTGTAACCCAAAACTGATACTTGCATCATGCAGCACTTTGATAGTCACTCAAACATGTGCAGACTGGTGGAAAGGGTGAGTCGCCCGACCGGCACACGTCCCAGCCGAGGTGGCACAGGGCTATGCACTGTTCTTCTGCTTCGTCACTCATACTGTAAATGTCCTTTTTGAGGTCTGGTTAAGGACACTTCTTTTTCTTTGCATATTTGTGCTTTAGTGGTGATTCTGCTGTTTAAAATGCCCCCCATCCCAAGCATAGTGCTGAAGTGCTAGCTAGCATCCTAAGACCAAGAAGGCTGCAGATTGCCTTGGGGAGAAAACAGGTGTATCAGAGACAATGAGGTTTGTTCTGGTGGGAGTCACGGTGCTGTTGGCCCTGAGTTCAAATTAATGAACCAATAATACATATAAAATAAGGTGGCTTTAAACAGAGCACACATAAAACAGGTTGTGTATTGATCAGTTGATTAAAATGTTCTGACCAGATGCTTGCAGGAACCTAACCCCATATTTCCCCTAGGGGCAATGGTTCCGTGTTCACTAACTCAGTGTTAAGGGTGACATTATTGAACAGGCTGCTGGGAATAATGAGAGTCAATTGCATATTCAGCACAGCAATGCCTAAGTCTCTATTCAAACACCAGCTGACCACTCCAGTAAACTCAGCAACAATAACCCTAGATGGAGCTTGAACACATGCTACCATCACAGAAGGGTTTTCCTCGCAGCCACACCCAGCTCAGTCCAGGATGAACCCGACTGGAGGCAAGAGCTTAGCCAGAGCAGAACCATTCCTTGCACTGTGCTGCCCACGGTTTACCTGGAACAGATATCTTTCTTCCCTTACCCAACCCTGGTCCAGAACCCAGGTATCCTTCCTCTAGCTGATACTGATGGGGGCGTCCAATAAACACCGAGAGGTTCTGGAAGACACCCACGGTTGGAAGGCAAACAATGACCTAATTCTTATTCAAGCCCAGTCCCTCCCAATGTGGTGATCCTCTCACTAAAATTCAGGAGCCAGAAAAACAGAAGCAAAGGTCAGTGGGGTAGCCAAATGCCCACTCTGCTAGAATATGGCCCCATGGGGGCAGCAAGAGTTCTGTGAGCTACAGAGAGTGCGGCCCATGCGCAGAGAGCTCAGCAGGGGCAGAGCAAGACCAGAGGCAGTCTTCCTAGGCCAGCCCTGGACTGGTTGGGAAAAGAAGAGAACAGAGGGTGGAAGCCTGGGCCCGGTGATGGGGAGCTCACAGCCCCCCAGGACCTTGGTTTTCCTGTCTTTAAGATGAGGCCTTAACCTAGCCTGTCCCTCTGTCCCCTCTGGCTGTAGGCTATCTTCAGGGGCCTCTGCACTCTCCCTTAAAGTAGCTGACCATTTGGGGAGGCAGAATCAGTGGGAGGGAAGGGGTAAGCAGTGGCGTTGCTGGGCCTAGGATGACCTTGGGGACACAGAGAGGGGCACCCCTGCTGGGCAGAGGGCCAGCCCCAGAGGTTCTGGGAGCTGAGGGAGGCCCTAGCATAGCTTAGCAGGACTACAGGGAGGGCCTGGAACCATAGGAGGTGAGAGGTGAGGAGGAAACAGGCACCCTGAGCCATCTGGGCTGAATGAGACATCTGCAGTGGGACACGGGGGGTCCTAGCAGGGGCTGGGATTGGATTCTCAGGAACTGCACACTTTGGGGCACTGGGGGCGGAGGCAGCTAGAGAGTTGTTTCCATTCAAATGGTACTCACCACCCTTCACCCCCTCCCCACTATGGAGGCCTGGGTGGAGGGTCTGATGACTTCAGGGGCTGTTTTCTGGACAGAGTCAGGGTACATTTCCTAAATGCACAGGCCAGGTCGACAGGGAAGACCAGCCTTGTCTGTGCCCCCTGTCTTCCTGGGAGCACCTCTCCACGTGGGGCTGGGCCTCCTGCCTCCAGGCCACTCCCACCCTGAGCCCTCTGCCTAGGGACCTCTGCACCAATGGAGTCCCCTTGCCCAGGCTATTTGTCAAGTTTTTAGACAAACAGTAAGGATCTCTTAGAGAGTGGGAGGTTAGGAGGTGGTAGATCACCTCAGAAGGTTCCAGAACCCCAGCTATATGGTGTACTGCCATGCCACCCCCAACCCACCCAGAAGGGAGAACATTCTACTCTGGTACTCACACGTGTCTGGCTTGTGACAGCTGTGTCCCTGTCGGAAGTACTGGGGGTTCTCAATGACTGGGATCCGCGTCATGCCGATGACCACCGTGTCTGGCCCAGCATCCAGCGATGAGGGCGCGGTGATGCCGTGATTGATGTGGTGCAGCGGGCTGGCTGAGTCCTCCTCGCCGCTGATGACAGCCACAGGGCCTGCACACAGGAGACACAGTCCCAGTGAAGTCTCACCCAGCCAGTGCCCAGCCCTGCCCACAGACCCTCTGACTGCTTTTCCCACCATGTTTTCCCCATAAGAATAAAGTTCATTGGAAGAGTCCTCCCTGAATACTCTGGGTTCAGAATTCAGAGTCAACCCTTAATTCTCTCTCTCCAAGGAGAGAAAAACCGCCTCCCATCACACCACAGAAACAGCTACAAAGAGTGCATTGAAATGACTGACATAAATTATGCTCACTTCCCCCATCCAAGCTAATAATGCAAATTTTAAATAAATTTCTTTGCTTATGTAGCAACAGTGGGATTTTTAAAAGAGACCCAGCAGTAATGTGCACCCTGTCCCTCCTCCCTTCAGGAGCTTTAAAAACCATTGATGGGGGTCCCACCACCCCACAAAGATTCTGCTTCGTTTGGTCTGGGGATACAACCTGGCCATCAGGATTTGGAGACCTCCCACATGAGCCCCATGAACAGCCAGGATCTAGAACCTCTAACTGGGGCCTTGGGGGCTGAAAGCCTTTCCCGATTGGCTGTCAGGTGCCTGGAGGCGTGGCATACAGTTTTCACTGGACTCTGCTATCAACTCTCCCCAGGGCACAAGGGAGATAAGCCAGTGTGGGCCTGGATCTAAGCTGAGCCAGCTTCCCTAAGTGACGGTAATTAGGCTGCATCGCTATTAGCCTACGGCCAGCCTGACCGGCTGCCCGACTCCTGGAAGGTCCATATCGCATCTTCACCAACCCCAAGGCCACCATTTTCTAACCCAAAGAAGAAACCCGGCAAATCAGGTTACTGACAAACACAAGCTGACAAAGATAATTACTGCGGCTGTCCTGGTAGACCAATGATTCTGTCTGGTGGTGCGATTCCCCCACGCATACAAATATAAGAGTCCTGTAAGGTGAATTAGCTGTGACGGTGGCTTTGTACAACTGGTGTTTTAAATGGCTGCTTGGCAAGACACATGGTCCCAAGACAAACTGCCGGCTGTGATTTGGGTTTGCGGCTTGAACAATATTTCCACCGTAGAAACCCATTACATCTCCCGGAAGTTTATGGGGAGAATACTTCCCATCAAAGAGCGAGGTGGAGCGGCAATGAGGCGGAACTAAACGGAAGACGAGTAAATGCAATCTGAGGACCCTGAATTCTACTCCGTCAGCACAGACAGGCTTATTCCAACCCATGACAAATGTCTGCCTGTGTCTGGAGGCATGTGGAGGAGTACCGATAAGTGGCTGCCCAAAGACGCGCAATGAATACTGGCCTTGCAAAGGAAGGGCAATTCCTGAGAATACCTTGTAAGCTTTTAGAAAAACTTGATAGTGATTTCAGTTAAACATGGAAAGCTGAGCCCTGGTCTTTAACCTTCTCTCCTCAAAGTCCACGCAAATACAAAGGAATTAAAGACGTATTTGTGCACAAGAGAAAGAGACGGGACAAGAGGAAATAGGATACTTCATTGAGGTTTTGGAATATGGAAAGTGAAATGAGGACAGCCCACTTACAGGCGGGAGGAGGCCAGGAAGAAAGGACCACTGGGGCTGTGGGGGGGTGTTGTGGACCGCTCTCCTGGGGAGGCCCAGCATTGCAAGGTACAGGGTTTCCCGGAAGGCTGGGGAGGCTCAGCGCTGGAGCAGGGGGCCCAGGCCATGACCTCAGCCCAGCCCAGCCCACCAGCACCTGATGGTTTAATTCCTGGAGCAACTGAACCTGAAGGGCTCCGGGCAGGACCCAGGTGAAACGCAAAGCTGGGTGCCTTCTTCCCGCTTCTGGAACAGCACACACCAGGAATAACCCTGCCAACCCACCCACCCTGCTTCCGGTCTCCTCTCACCCCATGCTCTGCAGACCAGGGCACACTTCTGACCTGAATGGCTCAAAAATGACTTCTAGATAGTAGTGTCATCAGAGATCTTCAATGAAGTCAAGTTCATGCTGTGATCACGCAGTAGCGAGGCCTTCTTAGGCCTTGACAACCCTGCCTGTGTACACCAGGGGCTTTCTACTATGCAATGCCTACACAGAAATAAACAGTCTAGGATCACCAGACACCTCAGCAAAACCTCAGCATGGAAGAGAGTGCACAAGACAGACAATCAGGAACCCACAGGAAACACAGGCAATTTGGGGCAGAAGGCTAGTCTTTCATTTAAATCACTAATATCCTTAGAGAGATCAATGAAGACATTGCACCCATTAAACAAGATGACACTCAGAATGTGAACAAGTAGAGGGAAGGACAGGGTCCTTGGGAATCATGAGCATCAAAATGTGAAAGTCAAAGAAGAGTAAGAGATAAAGTCAAGGCAATTTTCCAGAAAGCCAAACAGGAAAGAAGTGGTAAATAGGAAAGAAAAGATAAGAAAGTTAAAGACTCAGTCCACAGATTCAACATCTGACGGGGCAGGGTGGGAAGAGAAGGGAAGGGAGACAAAATAGAAAAGATGGAAGAATAAAATATTATGGGAAAACTTCCCCAAATTACTTGTCTAACAAGTTTCCAGCACAACTAACATATGCAGGTGTGCCTATGCTTGCATGCATGCGCGCGCGCGCACACACACACACACACACATATTTAAAAATCAAGGCACAAAATCATGACACGCTAGAATCCTGAGAATAAAGAGAAGATGCTAAGAGCTCCACATTTCAAAAGGGACAGGAATCAGGAAAACAATGTTGTTACTGTAGTGAGAAATCCCTTCAGAATTTCGAGGCACTAATGTTCAGCCTACAGTTCTACACCTAAAATTGTATTCATCCCTTGTAAGGGCAAAAGAACAGCATTTGCAGACGTAAAAAACTGACGTCACCCTTTCGTAGGACGCAACAGAAGGGGGAACTCTGCTGCAAAAACAAAGAGGCAGATGAGGAAAGAGGGAGCCTGAGACAGTTTCAAAAAGGCCAGATAACAGGCACCCCTCCCGCACCTCGCCCCCTGCTATTCTCAGGGGTTGTTACAGAAACATGGAAGGAGGACACGGAATTGGAGGAATTTGGAGAAGACACAAGACTGGGACGTAAACCTTCTGTGAAAAGCTTTTTCTTTGAGCCTGTGTCTCAATGAGTCAGTGGGCAGCAAGTGTCCAGAGAGCGTTCCAGGAGCCCAGGATCTAAAGCATGCTCTGCTTTCCCCACACTGCTCCCAGGATCTGAGCCGTGGGAGAAGCAGGGCCCTGGTACAGGCTCCCAAGCCATGGGAAGGGGCAGGGCCTCCCAGTCATGCATCTCAGCAATGAAAGAATAAAGCAGACTTTGGAGCACCAGAGAACCTGGTACGTAAGGGCAGAAGGTGAGGGAGGAGGGCAGGAAAAGGAGAAAGAGAAGAAATGGCCAGAAAGGTAGAAGAGAATCAGAAAAAGGATTCTGCCTTAGAAGTTAGAGTAGGAGAATCTCCAGAAGCTCGGGAGCACCACGTCCCAAAGCCAAGGAGGGTCAAGAATGAAACAGGCCGCTGTATTTGACAATGAGAAGGTGGCTTCAGTGAGAGCAGGTGCCACAGAATGGTGCAGCAAAAGCACAAGTTATAGTGGGCAGAGGAGATAGTTGGCAAAATCACCATCCTACCAACTTTTATCACTGAGTGCATCCTATATATCAGGCTCTGGAAATGTACCTTCTTTAACTTTATAATGCTTCTGTGAAGTTGATACCAGTATTTCCCCTGTTTTACAGAGGAGGACACTGAAGCATACGCAGTGACCCGCCCAAGGTCACATACCCAGCAAAGAAGCTGTGAATCTGGAATTCATACCGCCAGGGTGGCCCCGGAGTCTGTGCTCCCAACATTCCCCTGCTCTGCCTGCCTGAGAGCACAGACTATAGGGGAAAGTACTTGTCCAAAGGATACTGGATTGCTGCTGGTACATTAGCCTTCCCATAAGCAGCTGCCTTCAATTACAGGTCCTTGAGAATAGGGACAAGAGTGAGTCACCTCATTAGACTCCTCGAGATGGATTACAGGTCATTCATCATGGCCTCCTCCTCCCAGAGCCACTGAACACTCTTATCCAACTACAACCACATCGGGAAGAGCATTGGACTGTCAGACTGCAGTCCAATCTCTGAAGCCCTCTTTCTTATTTCCACTCTTCCATAAACCACATTCCTTAAAATAAAAGCCAATAAAGAGTGCCTAGACCCATCACACCAAGCTGTAAGAGGCGGCCCCTGCAGCCCTCCCACCTGCCTGCACAGAGCCCAGGGGTGATCGCCAACAGGGCCACGGCCGGCAGCCGGCAAGACCTCCCTGGACAGGGCTGGCCTGGGTGGGGCGGGTATTTAGCATCCCTGGTCCTGAGCTCTAAAAGTCAATCTCAGGTTCACCAATCGTAGTAAGTATGCCACTCTCAACACGCACGCAGACAGTCTAGCACCTGCGATGGGGCTCTGCTCTCACCACTCCATTCCAAATTACACAGTCATTCTGTGACGCAGCACTAATACACAGAAGGAAAGAGGAAAAGGCCTGCAGCCTTTCTGGTAAGTTCAAGCTTTTCAGAGAGAGCCGGGAGGAACACAGGCTGCTTAGACATTCACATCACGTGATTCTCTTCCCAGGTTCATTTTTTTCTTCCTCAGACTGGTGGCAGGTTTTGCTCTTCCGTAAGAGAACCACTGGAGAATTAGAGCAAGCACAGTGGCCCTGGCAGGTGTCTTGCCCCACAGGACAGTCCAAACTGTCTTTCCCTCTCTGCTCCTTCTATGGAAAAAAAAATAAGGGGGCAGAGCCGGGTATAGTGCAGATTTTCCTAAGTGGTTGACTCCAACGTGGGAGGCAGGTTCGCCCAGAAAGCAAAGGTCTCTGATGAGACATGAGATGGATTTTCTCTGCAGTAGAGTGAGCAGAACCGCCATCGCAGAGGAAGTAGGGACAGCAGGTTATGGTGAGGGCCGCAGGGGCCACGCATCCTGCAGAAGCCTCTGGTGAATCAGGCAGAGTCCTTAGTGAAAACAGGGGAGGGGGGAGG